ACGCCTAGATAGGGTCTCCAGGACCTGCCGTGCGGCAACATTTGACCTACTTCTGAGGCTCTGGGTCTGGCCCAGGCCGTGTTCTCGACTCCTCCGGGAAGTGTGGGCCTGCATCCCAGCCCAGAGGCTCTGGGCCAGGAGGGGCGGGCCGGGGCGGCCTGCGGAGCCTGTGGCCAGGCGGATGAGGGCACGTGGGGAGTTGTTCCCCTGCCTGATTTTGCTTCTGGACCCAAGGGACAGCTGGGCCTCACCCCTGACCCTGCCACCTTCTCTATATGGCTTTTACACTCTGTGGTCCCACAAAACCAAAAAAACCAAACCCACTGCCATCAAGTCAATTCTGACTCATAGTGGCCCCCACTGGGTTTCCAAGGTTGTAAATCTTTACAGTAGTATGTTGCCTCATCTTCCTTCCATAGAGCAGCTGGTGGGTTTGAACCACCAACCTTCTGGTTAGCAGCCAAATGCCTTACCCACTATGCTACCACACCAAACAAAAACAAAAACAAACTCACTGTCATCAAGTTGGTTCTGACTCATAGCGACCCCGTTGAGTTTCTAAGGCCCCATCTTCCTTCCATAGAGCAGCTGGTGGGTTTGAACTGCTGACCAGAAGGTTAGCAGCCAAATGCCTTACCCACTACTCCACCAGAGCTCCTTCTATGCCACTAGTTTTTTAAAAATAATAATAATACACCAAACTCACTGCCATCGAGTTGATTTTGACTCATAGTGACCCTCATTGGGTTTCTGAGGTGGTAAATCTTTGCAGAAGTAGATTGCCCAGTCTTCCTTCTGCAGAGTGGCTGGTGGGTTTGAACCATCAACCTTCTGGTTAGCAGTCAAAGGCCTTAGGCACTATGTCACGAGAGCTCCTTCCATGCCACCATACTATGGGGAAAATTCTCCATACCCCTCTGAACGGTGCCAGAGAGTTCTGTCAAGCACCGACTCCTGCTGTTTGGCAAGAGTTTATGCCCCTATGCCTTGACTTGTCTATATAGGGCAGCAGATGGTGTCTATCTGGAAAACCATCAGCCCCTGTCCTGGGTCTTAGGTCTGGATTCTGGGTCTGGGTTCAGAGTTTGGGTGATGGGACCTGCATCTGGGTCTCCAGTACGGCTCTTGAGTTCTAGGTTCCAGTTTTCAGGTTTAGGGTTCAGATCCTGAGACCTGACTTTGACTTCTGAATTTGAAATCCTGGATTCTGGGACTTGGCTTTGAAATTTGGGTACTGGGATCTGGGTTCAGGGTCCAAATGCCTGGTTCACATCTCTTTTACACCCCCTGCTGGCTGGTCATCATGCAAAGTAGTTGCCTGTACCATGGGCTTGCCCTACCTGTTCAGACTACTGGAAGGTCTCAGCCCTAGAGATGGAAAAGTGGCATGAAGAGCACACATGAGTTCAAATGGGCCCCATCAGGGATGGCAAGTGAGCTGGGGGGAATCTACTGGCTACTTCGCTCTCCTAGGGGTTCCTGCGGCCACCAGAGCTCTGGAGGGTCAGTTGGTAAGTCCTTCCTTCCAGCTCCCCTCACCCCACTCCAGGGATAGGGCTGGCCAAAGTGTTCCAGCCCCTTGTGAGAGGTGAGTAAACTGAAATGCTTCACACATTTGCTCATCCGACATTTATTGAGTACCTACTGTATACCAGGCTCTGTTCTAGATCCTGGGAGAAGAAAATTTCCTCCCCTGGCCAGCTGACACGCATGGGCAGGTAGGGGGAGCAGAGAGGAGGAGCATAAAGAGACAAGATAACAAAGAAATAAGATCATTTTAGGGTCTGCAGGGATGGAGGGGTCAGGGAAGAAGACAGAGCAGAGGAGCAGATTCAGAGTAGTCTGAGGAGTCTTCTTGGAGGAGGTGACATCTCTCTGCATGGTCATGGTCCTATATGAGGGTACCAGGGAAAGAAATAATCCACACAAAGGTGTAGAGAGGGGGAAGGACTTGGCATGCCTGAGAACCTGGATGGAGTCCAATGTGGCAAGGGACCTGCTGCTTATATCCACAGGGCCCCTCAGAAGTTGGGGCCTATATATTCCCCAGCTGCCCTGCAGGAGAAGGCTCTGGAACTTGGTATGTGTGAGTCTGCATTAGGCTAGGTCATAACGCAGACCTCGAAGCTGGAGGACCCGAAGAGGATAGGATCCAGACACTCCAGCCCTCTCAGACCCTTCAGGTCCCCTAGGCCCTACCACAATCTTGCCTGTTGGGCCATCATTGCTGAAAGAACTGGGAGAGTGAGGTGAGCACCAATCCATGGTGTGACCTGTCCTCGCTGCCCATTGCCTCTCCCCCTGCTTTCCTCCCTGCCCTCGCCTGGTTCTAGCCTCAGACAGCCAGTCACACCTGCAGTCAAAGGGGCTGATCTTTAGAGGCCAGGGCTCTGGGCTGATCCCTGCAGAGTCCCTGCTGGGGGCTGGGCATTAGTTATAGGTCTGAGGATGGTTGTGCAGGGAGAGCCCTGGGGAACTGTTGCCCAGGGAACCGGCAAGGGCGTGGTCAGAGTGAGAGCTCAGACAGTGGCTCAGCCCCAGTCCTGACCTGAGCCCTGCTGAGGGGGTGTGGATGGCTCTGTGTGCCCTGTCTCCACTGCAGGACCACATCTGCCCTGTGCACAGGGAAGGGGACTGAGACACCCCCCTCACACAGAGGCAGAGGAAGGTGGCAATACAGTGGCTCTGGCACAGGGTGGGCATCACAGATACAGAAGCCTAGGCTCAGGAAGCCCATGTCACTCGCTCACCTGTGCTCTAGCTAATGTTGAGTGGTTTCCAAGGGATGGCAGTTGTGTGTAGCCAAAAGAAATGGCACAGGTGGTCTGGGTGACCCTGGGTGTGTCCTCTGCCCTGGACCTCAGTTTCCCCAGTGATGAATGAAGGGGATTGGGTAGTGTCCTGGCTATGTCTGTAGGGTTTGGGGCTGCATGACACGGCCATCCCAAGACAGATATTCTGAGAATCAGTAGGCCTGGGTGATAGGGCTACCCACAGTCCTCTTGCTGTGTGTCCCCCTCTGGCTATCTCCTCCTTTTATGGCATTTCTGGTTTGTCTCTGTGGACCTCTCCCCACTCTTTCTTTCTCAATACTGTTGCCAAGCATCTGGAAGGAAAGTGAAACACTTGCACCCTCCCCCAGCCCCGGATGTTGTCAGATTTCCAGATGTGGGGTGTTCTGCCCTCCAGATGAAGCAAGGAATGTCCTGTGTTTCAGCCGGGCGGGGTATCAGCCCCCATCCCTGCACTGCTGTCCCCCTTACAGTGAGGTTGAGTGACAGTATGAGAGGGACACGAGTGGGGGACCCCAGGCAGAGTCCCAGTGAATCCTCCCCTCAGGCATGGCTACAGTCCCTCTCCACACCAGGGAACTCCCCTGAGGCTGTGGGGCGGCACTGCCTCTGAAGTTTCTGTCAAAGGCTCAAGGCACTTAAAAATAACCAGAAACACCTCCTTCCCACCCCCCAGGCACAGACCCTGGGCAGAGAATTGAACTCAATGTGTTTGCAAGATGTCCCCATTCTCTAAGCTTGGGAGGACCATATGCCACCTTGACATTCCCTCCTCCACCTCCCCAAAGGGTGGTTCAGCCAGGCTGTACTCTGTCACTGCCATCTGCTGAGGGCTGGACACCAAAGGATGGTACCAAGGGCTGAGTTTTGAGGAATGGGCAATGGGGGTAAGCACACTGAGCTGAATACCAGAGGTGAATCCTGCTCAGTCCCCTAGGATCCCTCAGAGACGCAGACCCTCTCAGGTCCCTGCTAATAGGATCAGCAGAGGCAAGCATAGAATGGTAGGCACAACATGAGGGCAGTGGAGCCGAGCTGAGGCAGAAAGTACAGTGTGTATAAAGCTCTGGTGGGGAGCCAGGCCCCCTGGGGTGCAGGGGAAAGCAGGTCACTGGGGCTATGGAAGAAGGGCAGTAGGGGAGCCAGGGGTAAAACCCAAGGAAGTAGCCTCAGGGCCAGGTAGGCTCTGATGAGGGAGGTTGTGGGGGCTGTTTGACTGGTGAGAGGGGCTGAGGTGACTGCCCTAGGAGGAGCAGCACCCACTCTACTAACTCCTAGGACCACCTCTCGGACCTCTGGCTGGGGTTGCAGCTGCCTGTGGTGTGAGTTGTGACCAGACACTCACACAGACACAGAACAACACCTAGACACAAACACAGAGAGACAGCACCCACAGACACAGACAGACACCCCTACACATGTCGACACCCAGAAACAGACACATACACACACACATACACACACAGACCGTTCCCCACACAGACACACAAACACAGCGATACGGACAGACCTCCCCCACCCCATAAAATACCCAGACACAGACAATACACGTACACACAGATCCCTGAACACAGACATCCAGACACACTCAGACAACATCCCATGTACTTAAAAGCACCCAGATGCGGATAATATACACACAAAAATATATACACACACATAGGCGCACATACACAGACTCACACACACATAAAAGCACGCACACACAGACACATAGAACCGAAACAAACAGACCCATGCAGAAGCCCTACATGGACACTCAGACATGCAGGCACAGGAATGCCATGCACAGATGGGATGTTTAACTCAAGAGGAACCCTTAGGTTATCCCGGTCCCTTTGTCCTGAACACACACTTGGCCTTGTCCTCTCCACCTGTTCAATTTATTGACTGCCGAGGCCAGCAGGATCCTGAGTGTTTATGTCTATGTGTGAGTATGCACATGTGTGTTGAGCCTTGGCCTCTGTCCTCTCCTCTCCCTCCCTCCCCCAAACAGGTGATTGGGAGGAATGGAGAGCCCTCCCCTTTCCCCCACCCATTCCTGAGCCTTAACAATGCCCTCCCCAGGCCCCAAAATAGCCTCTGAGCCTAGCCAATGTCCTTTTATGGCCTTGTCCCTATTGTGTACTGTGGGGGTGGGACTGGGGTCATGACACAACCAGGCAGGATAAAGGGCTGGGTGCTAGAGGCTCACCTACCATCTTCTTTACACTTACTGTCCACAACTCTCTCTGTACTTATAGCCTCATGGCCCCCAAAAAGCCAGAGCCCAAGAAGGACGATGCCAAGGCGGGCTCCAAGGCAGCTCCAGCTCCTGCTCCCGCTCCAGCTCCAGCTCCTGCACCTGCGCCCGAGCCCCCCAAGGAGGTGGCATTTGATGCCTCCAAGATCAAGGTGAGTGTAGGAGCTGGGTTGTAACAGGAAAGGAAGGGTGGCTGAATAGACCCCAGAGTGGACCTACCTAGCCACAGATCAGGCTCCAGAAAGTGAGCACTGAGTCAGAGGTTAGACAAGCCCTGGGGGTTCAGGCCTCAGGAGGGCTGCCGCGGGACGGATAGTGGTCAGACATCTGACAGGACTCCCCATGGTACTCCTAGAGCCTAATGTACTAGTAAGGGTAGAATCTGGGCTAGGGTTTGAAAGGAGTGTCTTTGGAGGGGTTCTGAAAACTGACTCTCCCTTACCCTTCTCCCCAGACCTCTCGCATCCTGGGGAGTGTGAGAATCACCTATCCTCTCCCCTACACCTCTTCAGCTGAGCAGAGACCTTCCTTGTCTGGCTGAGGTGTTCCAAGTCCGTGCAAGTTCCTCAGATTGGGGGCGGGGGAGGAAGAGGATGCAGAGCCCCTGCCCAGGCTGGCTGACACTCACCCTGCCCAGGTCGTTCAGCGTCAGAGTTGGCAGAGTCCTCCTGGACCTCAGCTTTCAGTGGGGACATTGAGGCACAGGCTGGTAGGGATTTGCAGAAGGTCACTCAGGGAGCTGGTTTTGGAGCTGTGACTAGTGGCCCCTGGAGCCCATTCCTGCCTGAGAAATCTATCCCAGAGTCTAAACTTGGAGGACAAGCCATGACTCCTACCTGGGGCATCTACATAGCAGCACGTACCCTGTGTCCTGCCTGTTCCTGTTCTTGGCTGTGTCCACTGGCCACAGCTACCCTGGCTGCCCCTGAGGGGCCCCGTGTGGTCCTCCTCCACCCCTGCCCACCTAGAAAGACCTACACCCCATGTGCACAGACCCCCTTCTATTCATGACTTCTTCTAGGAGGCACCTACATGGACTTGAATCCCAACTCTGCTCCATCTCAGTTGTCTAGCCCCTTTGCTTCTCCATCTCTTGGTTTCCTCAGCTGTGAAATAGGATGATAAGCCTCACTCTCAGAACGCTGAGAACTATTCATGGAAGGTGCTCCCTAGAATTAGCTCCCTCCCCACCAGCCCCCAGGCCCTGGCTGGCATCCTGTATGCAGGCCCCTGGTGAGGGGCACACCACACCAGCGGCCCATGGTGGCTTTGCCCAGTCTTGCCCAGGCTGAGATTGACTCAGAGTCCCCTCTGGGCACAGGTTCCTCCTGTGCCCCCCACCCCCCATGGGGCTGGCAGGTGAAGGGGCAGGGAGGCCTTGCCAGGGGAAACCTAATCTCAATAGTTTTCCTAGTAGAGAGCTCTCAGGGAACCAGAAATGACACCTTGTTCTTGCCAACACTGGTTTGAGCCAGAGGTCCAGGAGGGATAACCATGCAGGGTGACAGAGGCAGGGTGTCCCTCCTCATTGGTGTGCACCATGGAGATTGGTGGGGCTCCCAGAGAGCAGCAGTGAGAGTGGTGCTAGTCATGCCCCCTCCCCCAGGCTCCTTTCCCTTGTGTGACTTTGACCTTGGGGAGAATGACTGCAGTGATAAAAATAGACTTGGTATCCAGTGAGGAGGGGGACACCCAGTTCCAGGAGGCCTATTGGCCCTGGGTTGGCCCTGATGTGGCCTCAGCAAGCATCAGTGGTATTACCCTAGTCCCATGCTGTGCTGGCACTGGAGCTGTGCTGGAACCCAGGGACTGGATGGTGGGGACGGTGAGACTCAGTCACAGGTAGTCCTGCTACCTGTGATGGTGCCCAACCCAGAGGGGCCTGGGGACTCTGTGAGGGACAGAGACATGTGGACACATGCAGACACATACACAGGCATAGACATGTGTGCACATGCACACATTTGTACATATAACACACACACAAGTGCCAATGGACACATCTTCTGCAGACATGCTGCCATACTGACAAAGGCCTCTGGCCTGTACCCTCACCCTTGCTTTTCCTGCCACCCCAAGGCCTCTGTCTCATGGGATGCCTAAGCCTGCCTGGGTTATGTCCTGTGGCTTCAGTCACATCTTTCTAGAAATAGGGCCACAGGTAACACTTTCCCTGGGCTGGGGACTTGAGGCTCCAGGTTTCCCTCCTCACTGTCACCCCCAGCACCCAGCTATATACACATCATGCCCCAGGCACATGTAGACCAAGGCCCTAAATCAAGTCAGAGGGTACTGGGAAGGTAAGGAGGCAGGAAGGTGTCAAGGTGGACAGCAGGAGGCCCTGGGGGGAGGTGGAGGCTGTAATGCTGGGATGGGGACAAACTGGGGCAATCAAAGGGCTGGAGCTTGGGCTGGTCATGGAGTGCCAGGAGGATCAGACCCCACCTTTTGAGCTTGACACTCACTCATAGTCTCTTGTGGTCTCCTTTCAGATCGAGTTCACACCAGAGCAGATTGAAGGTGAGCAAGGGTGCAGTGGGTAGGTCAGAGGTCTTCTGTCTGAGGTCCTGCCCGTGGTGTGGGTGAGTGGGTCTGGGCTCACTCTGGGAGTATCTACAGCTCACTGCCTTCTCCTGGCAGAATTCAAGGAAGCTTTCATGTTGTATGACCGCACGCCCAAGAGTGAGATGAAGATCACGTATGGACAGTGTGGGGACGTCCTACGGGCGCTGGGCCAGAACCCTACTCAGGCTGAAGTGCTCCGTGTCCTGGGGAAGCCAAAGCAGGAAGGTGAGTCCACCCTGCCTGAGATTCCCCATATAGTTAGTCCTGGGGAGACTTCCATCAGTGGTGGAGCAACCCCTAAAACTCTTCACTGTGTCCTTCCTGCATCCTCCCATTATCTGGATGAAGACACAGAGCCTGGTCTCAGAGCAAAGGGCTCTATAAACTGCATCTCTAGGTAGACTGTAAGGTGCATTGGGATTATACAGTGTTTTGTAATGGCACACTGTATAAGGGGCCACAGCTTCTCATCATAAAGCACGTGGGTAGGGTGTGCCTGTCCTGTCCCTCAGGGCTGGAACTCAGGACACTCTTTCTGCAGAGCTCAACACCAAGATGATGGACTTTGACACGTTCCTGCCCATGCTGCAGCACATCGCCAAAAACAAGGACACAGGCACCTATGAGGACTTCGTGGAGGGGCTGCGCGTCTTTGACAAGGAGGGCAACGGCACTGTCATGGGTGCTGAGCTCCGCCACGTGCTGGCCACGCTGGGTGAGGGTGGCCTTCCTGATTCCTACCCCCACCCATTCCTGCTTCCAGAAGGAGAAACCTCTCTGCCATCCATCAGGCCAGGGTCTCAGCTGTGAAATGGAGAGAGAGACAGTTACAGTGCCTCAGTGGCAGGCAACAGTGATGTCATCTAGGTGGGGAAGAAAGAAAACGAATTGGTGCAGCTTACAGAACAGAAGGGGGATAGGAACAGGTCTGAAGTGAGGGCAGACATCCAGAGGACCAACTCAGACCCAGAGTGAGATTCCAGGTCATGGCATCTGAGTGGTCACATGGGCTGCCTGCCTGCCTCTTGGAGGGCGTGGACAGAGCATCCTGACCCTCTGTGGCCGTGTCCACCTCCCACCCTCACCGCCATTGTCAGGTGTCTGACCAGTGGTGCCCCTTCTCAAAATGACTTTTTTTCCTGCAGCAAGTGCTTATTGAATGTCTACTGTGTGTACAGTCCTGTGCTGGTCTTGGGAGTTGTGTGTGTGTGTGTGTGTGTGTGTAGGGGTGACAGCACAAAGCACAGAGGCAGAGAAGCACCTGATTTGTTTGGGGAGCAGCTGGAGGTGCTTCTAGTTCACTCCACGACTACTCCCCTGGGTTCCCAGCTCCACCCCATGGGACCTTCTTCTGGCCTCAGAGGGCTGCCCTGAGAGACTGCCTCTAGAGAGGTGAGAGCCTAGACTCCTCCAGTTTAGTAGCGACAGAGAACAGTATGCAATGGTGACTTGGACACCAAAGTGGCACTGTGACAGACAGAGCCCAGGCTTGGTGGAGGCAACAAGTGGTACCCCACATTCAGCTCCTCTTGTCACCCACTTTCCTTGCCTTGGACATGGGGGAGATGGCCAAGTCTCGTGTGTAACAATGGCTGTGCCAGTGTGAAGTGTGGGAATACTGGAGAGGCATGAATGCTTCCACTGACATCCAGAGAGTATCAATGGACCCCTCACCCCATTGTACCTCCAGATGGGGCTGACTGAGTCTCCTGTTCTTGCTAGGTGAGAGGCTGACAGAAGAGGAGGTGGAAAAGTTGATGGCAGGGCAAGAGGATACCAATGGCTGCATCAACTATGAAGGTGGGTCTGGCAGGGTCTTCTGGGGAGGGAGCACTGAAACCCCAAGCTCCTACCTTTCTATCTCAGTGTGGGGCTCCTGTCGCTCACTCTTTCCACTCACTCTTCCCTTCTTTCCAGCCTTTGTGAAGCACATCATGGCCAGCTGAGCGTCTCACCCAGGTGAAACCCCTCCCTTCCAAGCCCTCTGCTGATAGTTACTCCGTCTCCGCTGATCCCAGCCCTTCTGTCCCGCTCTGTCCTCCAAATCCCTCATCTCCACCAAGTCTAGCTCTTGGTTGACATTCTGCTGCCTTGGTTAGCCCCTCCTCTGTAACCTGTGGCTGCTTTTGCTCTCAGGGAGCCCAGGGGGAAGCCATGCTGGGAACATCTCATCTCCCATTCATGATGCTGAGCCAGGGGCCTGAAGTTGTGGGAAGGAGGGGAGCGCACGGAGACTCCTACACAAGCCCTGAGACCTCTCTGCATAGCCACCATCTCTTGCCCTACTGGGCTGCTGTTATGTGACTGCATCTCTGTCCCACTCCATGGGCCTCATGAATAAATGGCTTCCTCCCTTCTTTCTTCCCTCTCCCTCCCTCTCTTTCTTCCTCCCTTCCTCTTTCCCTCACTTTTGCCCAACCCTCTTACCTCCCAGAGACCACAGCTGTGCCGTGGCCACCTAACCCAAGGGGTACCACAGTGCCCAAGAGCACTGCCTGAGCTCTCATTCCATGTCAGCACTTAGGGACTCATGGGGCATTGGCCCAGAGCCACTTGGGTCATGAGTGGGGAAACTGGGGACCTAGCAGGGAATGGCCTCACCTAAGTCACACTGGGAAAGGATGGCAGGGCAGGCGCTAATCCCACTCCAGGCTAAAAGAACTGAAGGGGGCTTAGACCCCTGCCCTGAGTCAGATGGGGAGACAGGGGCATGTCTGTCTTCACTGTGACTCTCGATCAGAAGCTGAGGCCTTGCTGGGACCATATCTGGGGTCCTCCCAATGGGTTCTTCAGCCTGGGCTTCTCAGCAGAAGCCTAGAGTGCAATCCTTGCAGTGTCGGATGGCACATACATCCTGCCCCATTCCCCACACCCTGCTCTGGACCAACGCCCCTTCCCTAGAGCCTTGGAGTTCATTGAAGAGAGTGAAAGGAGGTTTCACAAAAGTTTGATAAGAAGAGAGGGCAATACCTGCAGAAAGGCTGGGGAGCCCTAGTGGCAGGGGATGGAGGTGGGATGGAGGTCTCAGGGTAGGGAGGAGGCCACATAGGCCAGGAGGCCCCAGAGGTCAGGGTGGCCTCACTGGGGTGCATTTCCATGACTCATGAGGATGGACATGTGTTTCATGAGTTGGGTATGTTAGTGTGCCAGAGAGAGTTTGAAGGCGTGTATAGCTTACCCTGCCTGAGGGTGTTAATGTGTGTGTGGAATGTGTGAGTGTGTGTGTGTGTGTCAGGTGTGTTTGTGTGCGACAGTGTATATGTGAGTGTGTGTGCAGGGGTCTGTCGCACCTTCCTTTCATTCCCTCGGCATTTATAGAGCACCTACTGTGTTCTAGGTGCTGAGGTCACTGCAGTGGAGAGAGCAGTAAAAACTTCTGTCCTCATGGAGCTCACACAGACAACCTGACCATTTACCCAACTATCATTGTCGGCTGCCATTGCATTGGCCCTCGAATCATGGTGATCCCATGCACAGCAGGTTGGACTGTTGTGATCCATAGGGTTTTCATTGGCTGATGGCTAGAAGTAAATCACCAGACCTTTCCTCCTAGTCTGTTTCAGTCTAGAAGCTCCACTGAAACCTGTTCATTATCATAGCAACATGAAAGGCTCCACTAATAGACTGGTGGTGACTGCACATGAGGTGCATTGGCTGGAAATTGAAACTGAGTATCTCTCATGGAAATGTGTCAAATAGTGATAAAGACTAGGGAGGGACTAGAAGGGGTTATGGAGTGTGTGTATGTATGTGCATGTGTTTGTGTGTGTGCATGCTTGGGTGTATGAGTGTGTATGAGTTGGGAGGCAGTTGGCATGTTAACTAATGAGATAAGTGATTATCTGATAAGGTGGTAGCTGAGCAAAGACTTGAAAGAGAGGTGAGAGAGGTGTCTTAGACTGGACTCCTCCAGAAGCCACCCTGAACACAGCAGTCTTCCTTGCAGGTGCCCTGGGGACCATGAGAGAGGAGAGTGGAAGGGAGGCAGGGAAGGGAAGGACACCCCTGTAGGGTACACTAAAGAGGAGATACACTGTGGGTAACGGGTTCAGTCCCATGGGGACCTTAGGAGATGGTAGAGTGGCCCCACTGGAGAGATGGGGATATTGGAGTATTCATTCACCAACTCCTATCTGTCCGTGGTTGGGGCAGGGTCCCATGGGCAAGCTAGAATATTCCTGTAGGGCACTCAGTGTCTGCTCTGGGGAGCAATGTGGGCATTAGAGGGATCAAAGGTCCTGAGATGGGAGCAGAGAATGTGATAGGGAAGTGACAGGAAGACATCAAGTCAGAGCAGTAATGGGGGTTTCTGGGGGCTGTGGGAAGGGCCTTGACTTACACTCTGGGGGAGATGCTCTGTCAGTATCACTGGCAGCTGTGTGGGTGGCAGAACAGAAGCAAGGAGACCAGATAGGAGGTTTTGATGAGGGCCTAGGATCTAGACATTTGTCCCAGGCGGCTGGCAGTGGAGCTGGTGACAAATGGTAAAATTCTGGGTCATTCCTGAAAATACCTACAGCAACATCTCCAGTAGCTCTTCTGGCTTTCTAGTTTCAGTCCTTATTTTAGTCTCTTTTTATGGTCTCCCACCAAAGCATCTATCTGGCTGATGGGACAGGGAACTGAGGTGCCCACAGCCTTGCCGTGGTGGCCTTGGCCAGTGGGGATGTTTCCATGTGCATATCAGGTGTGACCTTGTTGGGTTCCGGTCAACTTCATTGGCCAAGTGGTGGGACCTCCCTTCAGTCCCAATTTGGCTCCACACCCCAAAATCCTCCTGGGTGGGGAGCTCCCTAACATGGCCAACACCTTCCTAGGCAGCCCCCAGTTCCCATCTACCCTGTCTACTTCACCTTTGAACACCAAGCCTGGGAGCTTAGTGAGGGACCACATAGGATTGGGTGGTTCCAACATTTTCATTTTGGGACACTCAGCCTGGGTTGGAGTCCTGCATGCAGGGATTACACCTGCCTTCAGTTATCTCCAGGTGAGAAGTGGCCCTGCCTTCATGTTCATGTGTGTTCCAGACCTCAGGGGATATGACTCTCACTCTCCCACTCTCCCAGGAATGCCTATCCTCCCCTCTGCTTTCCAGGGTGATCCTGCAGTGCCTCCAGGCCACTCCAAACATACCCCTGTCTTGCAGACTCCCCTGATTCCCAGAGGCTACCACCCCACTTGGCTTGACGTGGCAGTGGAAGGGAGAATCCCATACATCCCCCCTGTGATATGCCATAGCCTCTACCCCACCAGTCTCCTGTGTGGCAGGTAGGGCCAGTACTGGGCTGCCAGGTCATGGTGAGCTCTGCTGGGTGTTTGGCCTCACTTGATGAAGCTCAACTCCCGTTAGAATGTGGATCTGTCCACATGTTGCCACTCTGAGGCCATTTGCCTGTTATAGGTGGTTGCATTGACCACATGTGGGGTGTCGTTCCTGGGCTTGGATCACTGGATGAGGTTGCAGGTATCAGATAAGATGATATAGAGGGCCCTGGGAGGAGAGGGGTCTCCTCATTCAGCATCCTCCCACCTGCCCTGGCTGAGTGGCAAGTATGTGTGTAGTTCTGTGTGTGCCTGTGCTTATATGTATGTTGTGTTTGTGCCTGAGTGTGTGTTGGTGTCTGTGAGTGTGTGTATGTCCATGTGTGGGTCTGTATGTATAGACCTGTGTATGAGTGTGCCTGTTTACCTGTGCATCTGTACATGTGTGTTTACCTGTGTGTGCAGATGTGTGTTCGACTATCTGTTTGTGTGCATGTCTGATTGTGCTGAGGGGCACTGCTGAGTCAGTGCTGGCTCCGGGAGGGCAACACTGCCAGCCAGGCTGTGGCCTCCCCACAGTTGCATAAACACTTGTCCCAGCTCTCTCCTCAAGTGGGGTGGTCCAGCCTGTGGCCCTGTGGCCAGTGGAAAGGGATGAGAGGGGGCAAAATGTTTGCCCTCTGGGCAGCATGGTCTCCTCCAAGCCTCAAGTGGCAGGTCATGTGCCTTGTAAGCCTGATGTCTAGCCTCACTTCCCCTAAACAGCCTGCATCTTGATCCAAAGTCTCTCTAAGGTAGCAGGAGTATCTGCCTCTCTAGTCCTGGCCCCAAGTAGAAGCGGGATGGCCAGGGGTAGACAATATCCTCAAGACCCTAGCCCAGGCTGGGTGATGCCCCTGAACCACAGTGCCCAACTCAGAAGGTCCAGTGATATCGTGGGGAAAAGATGTTTTGATGGACCCTCAGAACCCTGAACTCACTACTTTGGGGCAGAGGTTTGGAATTTGGAGCTTAAGTCCATAGGGCAGAGAATTGTGGGAGTTGGCCCTGTGATGGGTCCAGAACAAATGGTCCCTCCTCTATTCTAATGTTCTTGCATGGCTGCCTGTGGCTTTCCGCAGTCTGCCACAACCCTGCATCCTTTCCCCTAGACACCATTCCCTGGGCTCTGGGTCCACCACCGGGACATGGGTCAGATGGTAAGGAGGGGGATGCAGGAATGCCAGAAATTTGGGCTGAGGTAGAGTGAAGTTAGGCAGGATCTTGAAGAAATAAGGTAGATGAGGAAAATTTTGTCAGGCCACAAGAAGGAAGGACATCAGATTGGGGGTGTGAGAAATTACACCATAAGACTCAAAGCACTCAGAGTGGCAGAGGGACTGATGGAACGATGATGGAGGCCTTAAGAGAAATCAGAGCATGGGGGTAAAACCAGGCAATGGGGTGTGTGAAACCAGGAGGAGGGGCAGAAGAAACTGCATGGGCAGCCCTCATGCTGCACAAGGCTCCAGTCCTTTGCTGTTGGTCCTGAGGGCTTGATATAGAGGGCCCTGGGAGGGGAGGGGTCTCCTCATTCAGCATCCTCCCACCTGCCCTGGCTGGGTGGCATGTATGTGTGTAGTTCTGTGTGTGCCTGTGCTCATATGTATGTTGTGTTTGTGCTTGGATGTGTGTGAGGATTTGG